GAGACTTGCTTGTTGTAAGTGTAGTAGTATGTATGTCTGTCTCTGTTATGAATTTTAATATTTTATAATGTAACTGTTTTAATGATACGGCTTGCCAGTGTGTGTGGAATGGCAAGGCGTGAATTTGACAGTGGTTTTTCCATTACCCATGTGTGTTGTCCTGACAACTTGAGCTATCTGTGAGAGGTCTAATTATATACTTTGTTGGACCAAGGACAAATGATGTGTAGTCATCCAGCCATAGGGGGAAATGATTGGATCCATGATGTGAAAAATAAATGTAAATGTAAATGTAAAGGAAGATGTGAGAGGCAGGGCATATGTCATGTTTGTGAGAGAGAAGACATTCATAGAGATACTTGGAGAGAAATATAAAAGAGAAGTACAAGGTGGGAGATGTGTGCCTGTATGATAGGATAATATTCAGGGAGATTATGGACTGGAGTTGTTTGGCCCAGGATAGGGACCAGGGACAGGCTGTAGCAAGTTTAGCAATGAGACATTGTGTTCCATGGAGGTGGGGCAGGAACAGGGAGTCTCCTGGAAGGTGTCAGTGGTTAGCAATAATTTTGGAAGTTGTAGTGAAGAAAACCAGTGGAAAATAGTAGTTGTCATGTGATGCAGTGCTGGGTGGTGATGACAAGGAAAGCGAATCCTGTTCTGTGTAATAACATTATAGCCATGACTGATAAGGGTGTGGTGCTTCTACAGGACTCCTTGGATTCACAGAAAGATGAACCAGGTTCGCATAGTGAGGCATGTGCATCGTCGTCCCTAAATGGAGTTCAGGCTGTCAACATAAAAGTTGAAGAATTCTCAGATAATGAAGATGGGGAGGATCCTGTGCTAATGGCAGTTGTAGGAATAAAGGCTGAACATGAGGTGAGTTGTGTGTTCCTTCTGTGTGCAGTGTGAGGCATATCTGAATCACATCCAGAGGTGACTGTTCTTTTTCTTTGCATCTTTCATACAAAACTCCTCCAGTTTGGTGAAGATGTAAATTCTTGAAAAGACCATTTTGACATGTCTCAGAAGGATTTCTTCTTGTTGCACATTGTTTGTAGTTTACTGTTGTCATTCTGTGTGAATGCCATGTGCATAAAACAAAATATATCACTAGAATTCTTCTAAACCACTGTGTGATGTGGCCTACAGTCCAGTATGCATGATGAAGTTTCAAGCTTGCAAAGACGCTATATTCTCTTGCAACAAGAGTGCACACATTATGGGGCCTTGGTGTCTTATTAGCATGATCAATTCAAGGAAGGTGTCAGGGTCCAGTCATATAACATGTATTTGAGGACAAGACATTCATGCAGAT